CAAACTTCATCTCTCATACTTCGGACATATTGTCAGGAGGGACCAGTTGCTGGAGAAGGATATCATGTTTGGTAAAGTGGAGGGTCAGAGAAAAACGGGAAGACCCCCAATGAGATGGATTGGCCAGGTGGCAGCATTGATGGACTCAAGCGTGGCAACAGTAGCGCTGTTGGCCCAGGATCTGGCAGTGTTTCATTCTGTTGTGCGTAAGGTCGCTATGGATTGGTACTGACTCGATGGCACCTAACATTATTATTAACATTATCATTTTATTATGTAACTGCCAATCAAAAGTCTGAGATCAGTGAGAGTTGGCTAGGCTTGGAGAAAAAAAAAAAAAAAATGAATGCAACCCAGTATGCAGAGAGTGTAGAATTAAGGAGCCAGATGCGACAAGGTTGTTGTGTCTTGTAAGGAGCTGGAAGAAGTATTTAAGAAAGAGATAGCCTCTTAAATCTGTATTTTCTAAAGATCTCTCAAGAAGAAGGGAAGATGGATGTGAATAACATAAGACTAAGTCATGGGAAACAGTCAGGAGGCGGCTGCTGAGGAGTCTAAGAAGAGGATGGTCTTGGCTGAGATTAGTTAAGTGGCCACAGGGTAAAAAGACCAGAGGGAGGGATTCAAGAGAAGGAGAGGAAGTAGAATGCCTGTAGACAGGACTAGAGATTGAGTACATGACTGCAGTACAGCTGTGTGGAGGGGTGGACTTAGAGAACTGGCGGGAAAGCTAAGGAGGACTCTCAGGTTGGAGAGCTCAATGAAAGGAAGTACCATTTACTGAAGTAGAGAATTCCAGTTAAAGAACGATTTTCTATGGATGGCTTCGTTAGAAAGTGCTCTGAAACATTACCACCCCTGGCCTAAAAAGCCCAAATGTTCCAATTCCTTCTAAGCTGGAAAAGGAAGGAGGAGGAATCTCTTTTGTTGGCCTATTTCCAGCAATCAAATAACAAATAATAACTCATCAAAATATACAAGGGAAATTATCTGTAGTCTCTGTTAAATTGACATGTGAAAGCAAACTTGAGGTCTCTCACCAAGACTGCCAAAAAGTAAATTCTTTTTGGTTAATCTGTAACTTTTTTTTTTTCTACAAGATGATTGTGGGATGATGACAACAAATCTGTTAGAACAATCATTTTCCTGTACCTTCGGAAATGACAGGTGTGGTTGTAAGAAAAGCACATGGGGGCAACATCTGACCTTCTCTGATTTCACAAGGGGGAGACAGAATCAAAATCAACATCCACACAACGGCAATTTTTTTAGGGCAGAAGCTAGATATTCTCCCACCTCCAAATCTTTTTACCAATTCTGATATGAACGGCTCCTCCCATGTCACTCTCTGTCTGTTTGGTTCAATAATCTGTTGCAATGGCCACACAGAACTCACAAACAGCATTCACAATTATGGGGTTTGTTAGGGAAGTTAATACGTTACAATTCAGAATCAGAAATGCTCAGGATCATTCTTTAGTCAGGACAGCCTGTTTCAGTGATGCTTGCAGGCATACTCCATGCTGGTCTGACCTCTCAGACAGAAGGTCCTTTGGTTTCTGCCCTGCTCTGGCAATGTTACCAGTTCTTTTAGCTCTTCTGATAATTGCCTACTCCACCAGTAAGCCACAGCCCAAAGGTGCTCAACTCTAGCTCTATAGGTTGTCTCCTGACCAAAGACATTCAACTTGCTGACTCTGCTGGTCAAGAAGGCATCTCCAGCCACCACTGCTGTCACCATCTCCTGTTGTCTGTGGACTCACAGCTCTTAGCCTCCTGGATTGAGGAGGTTCAGAGCAGGGTCTCAGGTCTAAAGGATGTGCTCTACTCCTGGATCCTCTTGAGGTCCAGTGCACTATCCCACAGCACTGTACCAGGACTCCAATCCCCCTGGTGGCCCACTTGCATAGTCCTATGCTGGAGTCATAGTGTGGCACTGTGGGTTAATGCACTGGACTGCAAAGTCAGTTTGAACTACAAAGTTGGAGGTTTAAGTCACCAGCTGCTCCTCAGAAACCCTGCACAGGGTCGCTGTGGGTCAGAACCGACTTGACGGCTTAACAGCAAAAGCAACAACAACCAATTTAATTGGTGGATGTTACAAAGACTAAGGAGCTCTGGTAGCATAGTGGTTACAAGTCGGGCTGCTAATCTCAGAGTCAGAAGTATGAAACTACCAACTGTTCCACAGGAGAAAGATGAGGCTTTCTGTTCCTTCAGCCTCAGAAACCCTATATATTGTCACTATGAGTCGTAACCAACTCCACAGCACATAACCACCACCAAGTCTATAGCTAGAAGGACCATATCAAGTAATTCACTGCACTGCAGTAGTTTATTAAACAAAGTAGTTTAAAGACTTGATGTAGCTACCAAATAGTCCAGGATGGCCCAGTACTGAGCCTCTGTTGATTTAAACTCCATAACAGCTTGCCTCTTTTACTTAAGGTAGTTCACAGTTGTTTCTGGTTCAATGCTTACTCCAAAGTAGATTCCCCACTAATAAGTTCTGAAGGAATAAAAATGAAGTTTTTATTTTTAATAGGAGGATAATTGGGAAAATAAATTTTGCTTTCATGGAGACTACAAAACATATTTAAACAAGCTGCTCCCTGTTTGCAGTGGTTTTGTTTTTCCTTCTCTTAGTAAGGAGAAACTTACTTGATACCCATACCTGCTTCAGTGATTGTTGTTGTTGTTAAGTGCCGTCGAGTCAGTTTCGACCCGTGGTGACCCTGTATAGGGTTTCTGAGGATTGGCTGGTGAGCTTGAATCACAGATCTTGTGGTTCAAACTAACTTTGCAGTTCGCGTATTAACCCTCAGCACCACACTAGGCTCATTTTAAACCTCACAGAAAGGAAAAACTGACTAATCTCCATGCTAGGATTCCACACTTCATTTGTATGGCCCCATTCCACAAGAGTGTCATGTAACGTATTTACATCATCAAGTAAATTGTACTTATCCTTCAAAACCCAAGTTCAAGTGCTTTCTTGTTTGACAATTGCTCTGACACTCTCAGGCAGAAAGGCGTAATCACCTTTGTGCCTTGGTACTAGCCCATTTCCTGAATTAAAACTCTTAGAAGAAAGATTACAGGCTGGGTTTTCC